CAAGCCAAAAATGTATTCACATTTCTAATTTAATGTTTCATATCCTTAGTTTCAAGTTGTCCAGTATGACCATCAAGTTCTTGCTTTTTCTTGCATTAGGTTTAAGGCGGTAAAAGCAAAAAACATCAAAGTACATTCTTCTTAATGTTGATATTTCGTCCTATTGATAAGTCAGTTATCTTTCAGCAAGGAATTTTTCTTTTAGGTGCCCCTGATACAGCTATGACCTGTTTTTCCTTCCGCCATCAGAAACGGAGCCATTAGTATTTCTGGTTCACAAAGTGGTCGAAACACAATGACGTGGAAAAATTCATCAATGAGAAATGCTAAAGAATGTCTGTATTTGCACAAGCTCCTGTAACTGGAAAAGAATTGCTTTCAGCCCGTAGACATACAATCAGTTCCAACAATATGCAAGGAAATTGTGAATATGAAGAGGAAATCGTAAGAACACGACACGTTACGAGGACAACAATTAATGATATGGAAAATTGTGAAGGGGTTGAACTCACCGTCGCATTGCATGGCTTATGCAAATTTATGAGAAAATTCGCCCATATAATCTCGTAGTACAGGAAAACGTTCCTTTTTTTAGGTGAGCAGTGATAGAGGGTCATTCTGAGGGCCTTGACATAATAACCACTTGTAGGTCCCTGATATGAGCATTTGAAGCGTGCTATTGAATTTTGCAGCTTAAAATTAAAACTGAAGTATAAGTAAGAAGTAAAGAATTCAATTATCTAACGATACCAACAATGCTGTTAAAAGCAGCTTGTAAGGGAGAACTTTCCAACAAGAGAAGATACTCAATCAAAATTGCGAACCAAGAAGCGACTGGTAGATGCGGCTTAAAACGCTGACTCAAAATCTGCCTTCTGCCAAGAATTTTCTGGAAGAAGTTATGAGAGTTTTTCCCTGCCGAAAATGTCGTGTACGACGTTAGTTAATGCGTTTGAACATCCACTTTATTCGAAACAAGAGAACAAAGGCTTTCTTTGATAAAAACCTTAACGCCTTAATATTCAACTTCATCTTTGCTGTTCTGGCTCTAAGTTCAACTTCTGGCTTTTTGTCTATAACTTCTTTTAGAGGAACGTTTGACAATTATGGAACACACAATTACTTCACCATTTTAAGCTGCTTCTATCAATGTGCATCCTTTCTTGAATCGTCATTTCGACTAAGTATCCTTTCCTTGTAAGAAAAACATGTGAAAGGGAATATCGTTGTGTGCACATCAGAATAGAGGTAATGGAACCTCTAATTAGAAAATTCTACTGAAGTTCTTTATAAACTTTTTGCGTTCCTCCC